TACAGTATATATATAATATATAATAATATAATTAAGTCAAAAATTATTCAATATTTGACTTATTTTGAAGGTATTAACGAGACGATTATAATGGTGTAACTTGTTAAAATAAAAATGTATTTTTTAATCATGTTTTAATTGATATACGATTATGTATGTTAATTTGATAAATGTTTAAAATGAAACATTTAAAAGTAAATGACGTAAAGTAAATTAATTAATTAATTATAGGGGTATAAAGTGTAAATTTAAAATTATAATTTTAAAATAATCGGTTGTGAGAGGGTGAGTGTATGTGAGGAGAGTAGGGGGTGAAAAAGTGAAAAAAAATGAGTATACAGGGTATTTTGGTCATTTAGTATTTTAAGATTTTAAGACTTTTCCTAAATTTGTTTAATAAGATAGTATAGATAAGTATTTAAAAAGTAGAGTATTATTCATCTGGTCAATGATTTGCGACTTTGACCATAAAGCACCGAATAGTTTCTTGTACAATATGCATAAGATAGAAGAAAGGTTTCGTGACTTTCACAAATATACAGCAAAACAAATACATATGTGAACCTGTATGATTCACATATGAATATATTGTTCATATGTGAAGAAATTAATTGATTCACATATGCACACTTATGTAGTCACATAAGCACTTGTTTGTCATATGTTTGTAAAAGTTATGAAATTATCTTTCTATTTTTGACATGACCAAACAAAGCTTTAATCTTTGACCTGTCAATACCGTAATTCTTGACCAATTTTCACGTATAAAAGGTTAAGATCACTTCTTTACATCTCAAATAAACCTCTCGTTATCAAGAGTAAAGAAATATCAAAATGGCACCCAAAAAAAAAAAACAATGCTCGGTAGCTCCATCTACTTATGACTCATCCAACAGTAGCAACAATGTGATTACAGAAAGATAAACAAGAACTATACACGGATTTAACGAGTTAGAAATAGAAGATGTGTTTCTTGACAAGGAGGCTATCAACGATCCCTAATCTTGTCGGAGACTCAGGAGTCAACGCATGGATTATTGAAGGAAGTTGTCGAGGGAGAGATACAAAACCCAATAGTCATTAATGGAGAGAAATCATAAAATTAGGGTTTTAAACCTTTGATTTTGATTTTAATGGCTTTATTGTGTTTTTTGGCATTATTGAAATTATTAATATTAAAAATATCATCAATTAATTAGATGGTGATTGGATGTTATCTGTTCGGTTTTAGAGGATTATATGTCATTATTTAAAATTCGATTGATCCAATTACAATATGGCATCTAATTTTTATCGATTGGTATTAATTGACAACATTTTGCACACCGCTAGGTCCAAACATGATATTTCCTTTATAAAAGTATTTCTTTTTTAATTTTTTAAAACTCTGTGTAACGATTACAAATAAGTTCAGATATTATTTTGGATTCAGAACAATTTTTAAATAAGCTTTAAAATAATAAAATAATATTTATTATAAATAGCTGGTATATTGAAAAAATTAACTAGAACAGTCTAAAATTTAACTAAATTCTTTCAAATTGCAACACTTAATTATAATTTATTTTTGAATTAAAAAAGTCAATTAAATATCCAAACATGTATTGTATAAGTCATCATCAACATTTCACCGGTTGGTCCCTTAGATTGTCGTCCAACCCCATCACTCATCCCGCCACGAGGTACCACTGTTGCGTTTGCATGTCGTGGCCCTGTCTCGTCCCTTCTACCGACCCCCTTCCCCTTGTGACAATTCAAATATCGATTATGGTTCTAGTTCTCATTATTTCAGTTTTACCTCCCTACAAAAATTATATGAAGCAAATGGCATTTACCCTAGTGGTATCGTAGTCATTGGCCTCTTAGGAGATCAGGGGTTCAAACTTTACCAAATATGAAGAGAGTGTGTGAGTTTATTTGTTGCATTGTCGTATATAAATATTATATACTTCAAAAAAAAAAAAAAAAAAACATCCATATCGTGTGTTATAGTTATATTGTTTATTTTAAAATTTAATATCTTTTAGTACCTTTTTCATATATTTCATCTTTTTCTGTTAACGAGGGGTGTATGAGTGAACAATATCTAGCGGCCGACTTGAACCGTGACTCTAGTAGAGATAGACTTAGGAATTTTTTCAAGTGGTAGCATCGTTTCACTATCTGGATATTTTTCACAAAATCATTATCGCTCTTTTGGTTCGTTTCTTGTTTTTTGTATGTGAGGTCTGGGGTTCGAGTTTTTTGTAGCAAATATCTTTTCAGAAACATAATAAATCTAAAATTAAAAGCAAAAAAATTAAGAAAATGGTTGAAACATGATTCAAACCTACATTTGGGATAGGAGAAAAATCATGCAAACAACCTCTACTAATGAAAACTTATGTTATTACTGTAGTTACAAAATATTTACGGTTACACGCAATAAATTAATACACTGATACCTTTCACGATCCTAATTCCTGTACACTGTAACAAAGGATCGTAACGGTAGCCACACCACCATATGAACTAGTATGGGTCTGCACCTACCTCTGGGATCATTTCCAACTACTCAAGTCTTGTATTCGATCGACTTATATTAAAGCAAATTGTATTTTTCGTTCCTATAGTTTGTTAAAAATTGCAGTTCTTATACAACTCACAAAGCAGAATGTACAAGCTTTTGATGCAAGGGTTTTAAACCCAACTAAGAAGGTTTCAGACACTTTTTCCATCACAGTCTTCTATACACTTTCTTCAACTGTTACTTTCTTAATTCAAATTGAAAATGATTGTATTTTTTTGTTTAGTCAAGAATTTCAAGTTTTGTAATGAGTTTTGAGTAGATGGGTTCAGAAACATAATACGTGTGTAATTATTTTTTTCATTCGATCTTGCTAATACACCGTATTAACCTTCAACTTTATATATTAGTTGACTTACAAAATAACAGCATAAACTCATGATTCAATGTCAAACTAATGTTTCAGAACTGTGATTTACCCGCATTACATCGTGCGAGTACACCACTAGTCATACAATACTGGTTTAGGCTTCCTTTTTTAAATAATATATTAAATATTCAAATATAATTATTAAATTATCTTTAAAAATTAATAAAATAATACAAGAGAAAGTGATTGATGGTATTGCCATTGCGAAATGGGACGAACTGTGTCGCCATAAAACTAAAGTATTGATCGTGACCTAAAAAAGGAAGTTTTTATATTTATGAAATCCAAAGTAACATTGCTTCGAAAACTTGTACTTTATGCATCAACAGTTGTACTTTAATCTGAACTTAGTAATTTCAGTGGTAAATAAAAAGAGGAGCCACGGAAATGAAAACGACATGAAAATGAACACAAAACGCAAATCACGACAAGGCCTTCAACGCCATAATAATAAGGAAGTGAAAACAACGGTTAACCATTTAAATCATTATCCATCGGACCACATCAATTCATCTCCGAATGGGTTCAACACCAGGTTGGATCTAACAAAAATTTAACTGATGACATTATTTGACTATAAAAAATAAGGATACAAATATTTTTCGTAAAATCATTATTAATTTGTTGGTTAGTTTCTAGTTTTTGGTATGTGAGATTCTGTGTTGAAGTCTTTTATTGCAAAAAATATTGAAAAAATAATAAATCTGAAATTAAAGTAAAAAACTAAGAATATGACAAAAAAGATTCGCACCGCACCTGGTATATAATAAAAGTCATGCAAACCAGCTCTAACAAATAAAACTTGTATTATCATTGTAATTTCAGAAAATATACGGTTGCATTCAAGAAATGATATGATGACACTTTTTTGACCCTATATTTTTTATACCATGACAGCTGGAGAGGGACAGCTGTTGGTTGGACGGGTCTCAAATTGGTCCCTTTGAAATGAACCGGTTGATTTTGATTCCGGCCAAAACTCATAGGATCAATCTAGATCCGGTTACCAATCTAACAATCTTGGACCTGACTAGTTTTTTTAAATGTTTTACATAAAAATGTTATACAGGTTTTTATAATTACGATTTTGAATTTAKTATTAAAAAGCATCTTAAACAGTATATTTAAGTAGATAATATCTTAAAAGACTTCAAACATAACTTGAAAGTTTGAGAGAATAGAGCCTATATATAACTGATCATGGTCACGAATAATCTGTAAGTTGGTTTATATATGCATTTTCAAATATATTATATTTATTTTTCTAGTTTTTCAATGAATTTATGTATAATCTTATGGTATCTAATCTTCATATTTGAAATATATATATAGAGAGAGAGGGAGGGGGGGGGGGGGGGGGGAGAGAAGGAGATTTTTAAATGTCAACCATATCATCGTTACATATTTTATAAACCAATCTCATCCATCCGTAAATAATGATCAATGATATAGATTAAATTGATTCCTAAATTTATTCTAACTGCATTTTTAATTGACTATATCACCTCCTCTAAATTTTAAAATCAAGGGTCAAATTCTGATTTGTAAGATTTGTAACATTGATATTTGTATTTGAAACTCAGACACTCTTTCTCTCTATCTATATAGAGAGGATAATCGATTGAAATAAAATAAAAATAATAAAAAAAAAAGATCAAATCAGATATAATTTTACATGTAATTATGGAACACAGATAACGGCAAAGGCCGGGACGACATGACCAATAAACTCTATATGGCATTTGCATATCACATGTATTTATATGCAAATGCCATATAGATGAGAAGTAATTGTGCACACAATTTGAAACACATCTGCACAATAATAAAATCGTCTTAAAATATAAAAATTAATTGGTGTATTGTTGAAGAATAGACGGTGAGAAAGCCAATGCAATTGCTCGATAAAATCCATAAAATTCAGTTGCAATGATGCTTGCTTTCATCTTTCAATGATTCGAAAGCTTTTGCCGGTGACGGAACAGAACTAAAATCGAGAAAAGGCTCTAAAAAGCATACCCTAAAAAGTGGATTCATCATTTTGATGCCAAGATTCATATATAATTAAATAGAATTTTCCTCAATTTCGTCTCAAAATTCGAAAATTACATCATCAAAAATCACTAGGAGGAGGTGAAGATCGTGGAAGCAAGAAGAGGAAGAAAAAGTGTTTAATTAATAGTAATTTGTAACGAAAATTCTCTCTCGATTGTTCAAAATCCGCAAATACTAATCTAATTGCAAGAAGATTAGTACAGATGTTAATCCTGGAACCCAGTTTTCTCCCAAATTGCGTTTCTAACCCTACTCAGATCTCGTCCTTTCAGAGTCCGCCCAATACCTTCGTGTACGGAAAACGAGGCGATTCTCGTCCTCGCCAATTGCTTCGCCAGAAACTCGTGCGGCGGAATCCGGTTCCCGTTGCCGTCTTCACCGTAGTCGTTTTGGTCGAAATCATCGACGTCGTCGTTGTCTCTCCTCCGATTCCCCCTGTAATCTTCCTTCAGTATCTTAGACCAGTCCGGAACATTGACCGGCAGAGACGACGCCGTTCCTCCAATCTCACCTCGCTTTACCACCGCCGATGATGATTTCTTCGAGATCCGCGAACTCGGCACGGTTTTCCGTAACTCAGGCGACGAAGAGACATTCCAGACATCTGATTCGTCCAGCTCAAACATGGAGTCCGTTCCGACAGGACCGTCCCGTTCACTGGACAGGTACCGGTAGTTTGCCCTCGCATAGTAGCTCTTCGATGCCGCCATTGAAACGGAGCTCTGTTCCTTTCTCTCTCTCCAAAAAATTTCTACTGTGTGTTTTGGAGTTATTCATGATCAGTTTAGTCTGCTTTTTATAAATGCTTCCAATGGATAAGGTTCTCTTTCTCATTTCCTTTTAACTTTTTTTGTTGTTGGTTTTCATTTCAAAATAAATATGTTAATATATGTTTTATTTCATTTGGATTTGGAGAAATTTAAATTGAAATAGATTTGAAATTATTGGTGTGTTTGGTTTGTAGGATTTAGAATGAAATCAAATTTCATTATTTATAAATAATTTATAAAAAATTATAAAAAATGTAAAAATAATTGAATTACATTTTATTAATCAATTAATACAAAAAAATGTATTATATATATATATATATATATATATATTATAATGGTACTCGCGCAATGCAGCAAGATACATCTTGATTTTAATATTTTATTTTATTCTTTATCTCATTCGATGTTGTAATATGGTTTTATGTGATTTTGAAAAAGCGATAATGTTTTTATTTTTTTAATAAAATATAACTTCGAAGATATCATAAAAATTTGACAAAAATATATTGATATTAATATCAAATTAACTATTTAAAATTCCTATTTTTTGTGTAATTTTTAATTCAATTTTTTTTATTATAGCTTAATTTAGGTTAATTTATATTTGGTTTAATAATATAATTTTATTATAAATATAATAATTAATTATTTTGTTAGAACTCGATAATTATCATAATTATATTTTAGATTTTTTATATTTTAAAATGAGATATGTATCCTCTATTTGATTATGTTTATCCGCAGTTAGTTATACGAATTCAAACATGGAGCTTTAATAAGTTGTACTTGTGCAGAATTTACTTGTAATCTTGAATTTTAAGTAATATGCATCAATATACGGTACTTCATGCATAAAAAATAGTTTTAAGAGTTTTTGTCAAATGTTTTATAATATAGTATAGATATATTCATAAAAGGGTTGTATTCCTATAGGAAAAAGAGTTTTGATGAGAATGATAAGAAAATATTTTTGCTTTTAAATCAATCATAATTGAATAGTTCTACTTGATCGGCATTAATGAGAATCACCAAGTTAATTCTCTTCTAAAAACACAATTCATGAGTTGGTTTGAGATTAAAAGTGATCAAAGTCCAAATCTTTTATTACACTTCTCACATGATCATTCGCATTCATAAAAATAAGTAAATATATATTTCATGGAAAAACGTTTTGTTTTGACAAAGTATATATCTATATAAAGAATTTGATTTTGCATCGGTAAAGACTAAGGGGGTCGGTTAAAAAAAGATCCGACCCAAAAACCGCTTATAAACAAAGCATTTTTTATCTTAAATTTTGAACATGTGACCTGTTTTGACCAGTTAATAAAAAGGTTGGATGAAGGATGAAAACGCCTCCTTAGTTAACCAAAATTCGGCTTTGATAAGGTCCAGTTAAAAATTAAATTAATGTAAGAAGAGTTTGAAAATATTTGTTTAGTTTTTCATGTGACTCAACTTTAAACCCAATATTAAATGCAAATAAAGTCGGGAGTTTATTAGAAAAAATATCAGATGTCTTAGGTTTAAACACCGTTTTGTTTGACCAATTAAGTAAGGTTAAAACAGATAAAAATATTCAAATTGACAAAGATAAAAAAAATTAAAGTAAAGATACGAATAATATTCAATCATAAAAAAAAAAAGACATTAAATGTCACAGTTTAACTAATTTCTATATCTTATTATTTATGAGCTTGCAATCAAATGAAAATTTTAAGACATTTTTTAGAATAATTATCCACTTTATTTTTTTATTATATCTTTTTATCTTTTATTTACTTTTAAAAACCCAAAAAAACTGTTTAAGACATTAAATATCAGTCAAGATAGCCGGTCAATATTTAATTCTAATTTCTTTTGCTAATACTTAAGACCTGATCAATATACGTCTCTGTATCTTTACAGTTTAAGTGATTATTATACATCTCTGTATCTGTATAGTTTAAGTAATCATTATACATCTTTGTATCTGTATAGTTTAAGTGATGGGTATTGACTTATTTTGAGTTAGGGGCCGTTTCACTTATCGGGTAAGATTTTAGTCAACAAAACGGCTTTTTATGCAACAATTTACCCGGTAAAAGTTGTCCGTGGTAAGAGTCATTGTCTTCACTTACCGCGTAAGATTCTCAGTCTTTACCTCATTCTTACCGGGTAACATTTTTGGTCCTTACCATATTCATCCGGTAAGGTAATATAATTTAATAGGCATTTACCCAAATAAGTATTTGGTAAAAAACCCCTTAAATGAGTTATTTGTCTCATGTGATTTCATCTTTCTTCTTCCATCCCCATGATAAAGGGATATACCCATGGAATATGTTGTCCTCTTTTATTATTTTTAGATAAAAAACACATTTATTCCAAATTTTATTTGTTGAGATTTTGTTATATTTTTATTAAATCAGTTAAAATTGTAAAGTTTTATAACGTTAGAGCATCTCCAATGGCTATATAAACCGAAGATTTCAGAGATTTTTGGTATAAAGACGTTCCAATCTTTTTGTAGGCTATGTTACATCCAAACTTATTGATCTACATACTTACCATAAATTATTAAATTAATAAAAAAATAACCCTAATCATATATTTATATATTTTAATCAAATAAAAGTAAGCCTACTTGTAAATGCGAACTAATTGTTTTCATATGGTGCATATTATTTATTAAAAAAGCATTACCAATCAACCTGCTTCGTCACGTTTACATTATTATTGTTTTATTCTTTTTTAACCAATTAATATATGGAATTAATAAAAAAAACATGTAAAATAAATAATTTTTAAAACTTCTAAATTATTAAGAAAAAGTCAATAACGGCAATTTTGCGTGAAAGCAAATCAACCAACATGTATACCAACTGCATTAATACATGTATCAACTTATTTAACGAATATAAATTACAGTCGGTTGTAGTACCGTACAAAGTATGTAAACTTGGTTATTACACGGGATAAAAAGTCACGTATCATGATAGTACAATGATACGTAGGGTTGTAAACGTACCAACGTTCAGCGAACCGTTCGGCGGAAAGTTCATTTATTTAATAAATGAACGAACATAAACAAAAAACTTTGTTCATTTAGTTAAACGAACGAATATAAACAAGAGTCTCGTTCATTCATTTATATTTATTCGTTTATGTTCGTTTATATATTAATTTTAATATATATATAACTTTTATTTATTTAGTTTGAATTCAATTTTCAAACCTTTCAAGTATTGGGCCTTTTAAGTATTGGTATATTAATGATGCTTGATAAGTGCCGATTGTTTTGTGTATGTTTAAACTATGGATAATTTATGTGTAATAGTTAATTGAATGACAAGTATTGGTGTTCGTTTGTTTATGTTCATTTATACCTGTTCATTTATGTTCATTTAGGCATGTTCGTTCGTTTACGTTCATTTAGCATGTTAACGAACACACCTGATTTCTAAACGAAGGAACACGAACACAATTATTTTCATTCGTTTACCGTTCGAGTTCGTTCGTTTGTTAGGATAAGCGAAATGAACAAATATGATCAACCCTCTGTTCGTGTTCGTTCGGTTCGTTTACAGATCTAATGGTACCTGCTTGTTTAACTATTTATTATTATTTTTGTATTTTTTTATGTATTACATATTAAACATTAAATTATAATTTTAACTATTTTGTTTGAACATTTGAACGTTTACAAGTTTATTCATTGAAATTAAAAACTCTTAAACATCACATATGTTATCTAAAAACTCAGAATGTCACTCAAATTTAAATAAAACGACAAGTTTTCATATATGTAACTTGAAGTTGATACAAAATCAATACCAACTATAAAAGTTGATACCAAATACAGTTGATTAGTATATGAGATTTTTAACGTTAAATAAAATTGGTTAATCCATGACAGTGAAAAAAACTTTGGTATCATAACAAGTGTACCCTGACATACCCTATGGCCAATTACATGACGTTAATTGTTATAACAATGGTTAAAACGATAAAACTTTGGTAATATTAAAATTATAAATCTTTTAGGATGTATTTGGTACATTGAATAGGACCAGATAGAATAAGACAAATATCCCTGTCTCATGTTTGACATGACTTTTATGTGTAACAGACAGAAACAAAGGGGAACATGCTTGTTCCACCCTTAACAAGATAGAACAAACTTATATTTTACCAATATAACCTTAAAATAAAACTTAATTGTTTTATAAAACATCTAATATGCCTCCTTTTTTATATTTTATTAATTCTTTAAATTTTATTTATTTTATTTTATATTTCTTAAACTTTCATTTTACTGTCTTCAAAATATTATTTTTATACAGTTTCTATATTTTTATTAATTTATGTAATTTATTATATATTAATAATAAAAAAGAAAAGAGATAAAAATAAAAATTGGAAACTACATGAATTTTTTATTTGGTGTCATTCTAATTGTTTTTAGAAAAACTTTCAAATGATATTTTTTGTTATAAAAGTAATTATTCTATTATAATTTAATAAATTACATAAATTAATTAATATAAACAACTCATTAGGAGTAAATTGGTTATTCTACTTGTTCTGTTCTGTTTTATCTTACGAAACGTTGAACAATTGTTCTATTCTGTCATGTCCTCTTATGTCATGTATTGTCTTGTCTAGACACGAAACACACTATTAGGTAGGGGTGCTCATGGTTGGGTTGATCAGATTGATGACATTTGAACAAACCAACCCAATGCTTGCGTTTTGGAAAAATCTTAATCCAACCCAACCCAACCCAAACCAAAGTGCAACCCAAACCGTACGGGTTGGTCGAGTTGATATAACTTATTCATATTTCTTATGTATATCACATCCAGTTAATTTTCTCAATTTACATATATATGTTCACAGTTACTGAATGAGTTATATAGAGATATGAATAGATTGAAAATGTGTGTATATGAAAAGCATATATGATAGTGTAATTGTCTAATGTATATATTAATAGAAATTCAACAATC